CTCAACACAATCTCTTCTCTGTTGGGTCAAGTTTGCTAGATCCAGAACATCTTTAACGAGACAGGTTAACAGAATTAACCTTTTTAAAAAGATAGGTGAGCTTAACCGTGGGAGAGAGAGATCAAGACCAACACAAACATCAGTCTCTTTGATCTAGCTTTCGGATTTTGAATCAAAGGCTAGAAGTCATAGATATATTTAAGACTTTATTTATTTGAAGCACACAGTTGACTATACTATTTGGCTGGGCTACCAAACATTACTTTTTAGTAGTCTACTGGGTTGCTTTGCTATGAATGGATTTGCCCATGTTAATTAATGTATGTAATGGGCAATAAACTGCACTCACAGACCTACAGTTTCCTTTGAAGAATTAGTGCCATCACACAGCTGTCCAATTCCCTGATCTTGGAGTGATGATACGCTTCAAAACTCCAAGATTTTCCCTGGGCCAGTGTGATGCAGGAGCATCCAGGATTCACACCCAAATGGCTGAGTTGTCTCCTTTCAGGCATGGCAAAAGCTGGACATTAACTGCTTGTCAATCAACAGTAATTGTGACAATCTTCTTATTACATTCATCAGATAGATCAATCACTGTGTCAGTCTATGCTGAGCTCCCAAGAGGCAATCAGTATCCAAGACGGATGGGGCTAGATCAAAGAAACAAACTAAAAAGTAGTTTCCTGTATAACTAGAAAGTTTGCTTTCCCAACCAGAGTCACCAAGGAGCCCAGATAGAGCCTTTTCGAGAGAAAACAACGGTGCCCTGTGTTCTCTTTTACAGATATCCAGAAATAACCAAACTCAGTACCTATGACACTGCTGAGGGGCCTGTCACTCTGAATCTGCCCTCCCTTCCTGTTACTCCAGCAGCTGCCACCCTCTGATTAACTTGGTACTCACCTTCCATCAAATAGAAAGGAGTCATGGCCATTTAAATAGAGGAACAGCTGTTACCTACAGAGTGTATTTGGGCTGAGAGGGCAAAGAGGCCAAAGATACTGAACACATTTCACCCTTCTTGCAGCAAGATCAAGGGGATTGAGCTGTTAACTCCAGAATCAAGTTTATGCCACTGTTCCCTGGAGTCAGCAATAGCCAAACGCGTGCGCGCACACACGTATGTGTTTATAAACTCTTT